TGTCAGAGGCAGTGTGGTTGGTGCAGGATAGAGCAGGGTTTAGGGCTGTTGTGCATAGGGTCGCTATGAGTCGGAAACGACTCGACGGCACATAACAAGAACAACAACAACAACTCTTTACTATGTTGAGGAAATTCCCTTCTATTCCAATTTTGCTGAGTGTCCTAATCAGGAAGGGGTGTTGGATATTGTCAAATACTTTTTCTGCACCAGTTGCTAAGATCATATGGTTCTTATTATTTGCTTTGTTAATGTGAATTACATTGATTATTTTTCTCATGTTGAACCATCCTTGCATATCCCTTATAAATCCCACATGGTCATGATGAATTTTTTCTTAATGTGCTTTTGTATTCTTTTGGCTGGGATTCCCGCTCCCCCCCCCATAGACTTGTTTTATTATGTAGGGAAGTTTGGATAGAATCCGCTCTGATTCTGTGTTCTCAGATGGGCCTACTACCCCAAGGCCAGGCCAAGTTGTGCCAGGGGTAGTGTTGGCTCCTGGTGGGCTGCAGGGCTTCTGCATCACCCTCGACAGGTGGTCTGAGCTCCTAGCATGCTTAAAGGAACAGGTGCTGGGGGTGGGCATTTGGACTGGGCTGCCAGCCAGGGTAAAATCAAGTCAAAAGATCCTAAGGGAGAGGGTATGAGAAAGTGTCAAGACCCAGGCTGACACCCAAATATCTTTATTGGGGGGGCACCACCCTCACTGCGCAGCCTGTTCACTGGTGCTGCTTCCTGAATCCTGTGGCTTTATCATGTCCAGTAGCTCCGACAGGCTGGAGAATGGTTCAATGTGGAGGACCTCAAATGTGTCCTCTGGCTGGAAGGCCAGCCCCATTGTGGCCGGAGCCTGGGGGTCTCGTGTCTGACTGGTGAAACCACACTTTCCCAGTGTCTTGGCGTCCTCCAGGAGCTGGTCGTCCTTGTACAGAAGCGACTGTCATCAGGTGGCCACTCAAGGATGCCCTCAATGATGCATTTCAGCTCTAACATGGTGCTCGACTCCTTGGCATCAGTGAAGATGGTGATTTTGTGGTGCTGAATCATCAGAAACACATCCATTGCGGTGGCTGCCTCTACCCTCGACGCTCAGGTGCAGCTGCTCTCGCCCCATTGGCTAGGATTATTTTAAGGATTTTTGCATCTATGTTTTTGAGAGTTACGGGTCTGTAGTTTTCTTTTTGGGTAATATCTTTGCCTGGTTTTGGTATTAGGGTTATGCTTTCATCATAGAATGTCACTGAGAGTGTTCCTTCTTTGTCTACTTTTTAAAATAAGTAGGATTGGTGATAAAACTTCTCTGAATGTTTGGTAGAATTCAGCTGTGAAACCATCAGGTCCAGGATATTTTTGGTGGAGAAGTCTTTTTATGACCTGCTCAATTTCTTCCTTTATGATGAGTATGTATGTGCAAGTGTTCTACATCTGACCATGTCAGTCTGTGTAGGGGAGGAGTCTCAAAGAATGTGCCCGTTTCCTCTAGGTTTTCAAATTTATGAGAATATAGCTTTTCATAATATCCAAATATTATAGATTTAATTTCTTCTGAAAATGCTGTGATGTCACCTCTATCATTCCTTAATCATGTTGTGTTTTCTCTTTTAAGACGTTTGTCAATGATTTGTCAATTTTATTGACCCTTTTGAAAAACCAGTTTTTGGTCTTATTGGCATTATCAACTGTTTTTCTGTTGTCTATCTCATTGATTTCAGGTCTTATCCTTATAATTTCCTTTTTCCTAAAGCTGTGGGGTTAGATTGGTGTTCTTTTTGTATTTGATGAAGGTGTTAATTTAGATCATTAATTTTGCTTCTTTTTTCATTTTTTATGTGTTTGACTATTGTAGTGAACTGCCCCCTGAGGACTTCCTTAGCTATATCCCAGAATTTTTGGTATGTTGTATTTTCATTATCTATCATTTGTTGTGGGTGATTTTAATCTGTGGCACTCAGGCCTGTTTAGATTGTTTTTTGTCAAACATTCTTCTACGTGGTGTAGCACTGGTCTGTGCATTGCTGTAGAGAGGTAAATCATGGTTGCTGTGATGCTAAACACTGTGACACTGATGTGCCAAATGAGATAACTATTACCCATGGTGGACAGTGTTTTGTGGAGCTTCCTGATTAAAACAAGCTTGGAAGCAGGAGTGGCATCCACTTCCCAAATGGCTTGCCTCCGGAAACTCTACAAACAGTGCTCAGGTCTTTTGTAGTCTACGACTACGACTCACTGGCACTTAACAACAACAACAATATCACTTGTTTCAAGGAATTTTTTTATTTCATTCTTTATTTCTTTAATAACCCAATCAATGGTGTTCTAGCATAAAGTTATTCAGTTTCCACATGGGTTTTTGGTAAACTTTAATCTCCTGTGGTTAATTTCTAGTTTTATGGCATGGTGGTATAAGATGATACTTTGTATTATTTCAGTGCTTTTTAATTTGTTGAGGCTTGCTTTGTGCCCTAATATGTGATCAATTCTGGAGAACATACCATGTGCACTTCAGAAGAAAGTGAATTGAGTGTTAGCTAGGTGCAGTGCTCAGAATATATCCAGGAGGTCAAGATGGCTAGCTGTGTAGCTTAGGTGTCCTGCATCTTTGTTAAGTTGCTGTTTTGATTTTTTTTTTGTTGTTGTTGTTGGCCTATCCTTTGGTAAAAGCGGTGTGTTGAAGTCTCCTCCTATTATTATGGTGCTGTCTATTTCTTTCATCTTATCTGTTAACAGTTGGTCCAGTGTTATATCTTCTTGATCTTGTTGTTGTTGTTATGTGCCATTGAGTCGCTTGCGACTCATAGCGACCCTATGTACAACAGCCCTAAACTCTGCTCTGTCCTGTGCCAATCGCACTGTCTCTGACATTCCCATCCCGATTATCCCAGTCACTGAATCAATCCACCTCATAGAGGGCCTTCCTCTCCTGCGCTGTCCTTCCACCCTCCCAAGCATGATGTCCTTCTCCAAGGACCGGTTTCTCCTCACAACATGTCCAAAGTATGTTAGATGGCACCTCAGAATCCTTGCCTCCAAGGAGCCACCCGGTTTAACCCTTTCCAGGACAAATCTGTTTGTTTTCCTAGCAGTCCATGGTATTCTCAATACTCTTCTCCAGCACCACAGCTCAAAGGCATCAATTCTCCTTCTATCCTCCTTGGTCATTGTCCAACTCTCTGATGCATAACAAGTGATTGTGAAGACCATAGCCTGTAGCAGACACATCTTAGTCTCCAGAGAGACACCATTGCTCTTTAGTACTTTGGGGAGGTCACTAACAGCAGACTTTCCCATGGCAATGCACCTTTTAATTTCCTGGCTGCTGGTGCCAAGACTGTTGACTGTGGAGCCAAGCAAACTAAAACTGTGTACGATCTCAATCTCTTCACCATCCATCCTGATGCTGTCAATTGGTCCAGTGGTGAGAATCTTTGTCTTCTTGACATTGAGCCTTAATTCATATTGTAGGCTGCAGTCCTTGACCCTCTGCAGCAGGTGCTTCAGGTCCTCTTCATTTTCAGCAAGCAGGGTCGTGTCATCTGCATAACACAATTGTTGATAAATCATCCACCAATCTTGACCCCACATTTCTCCTCATAGAGCCCAGCCCCCCGGATAATCTGTTCGGCATATAGGTTGAAAGGTATGGAGATAGGATGCATCCCTGGCATACACCCTTCCCAATTTTGAACCATGCAGTGTTCCCTTCCTCTGTTCTGACGACTGCCTCCTGGTCCAAGTATAAGTTTCGCATTAGAACGATCAAGTGTTCTGGGATTCCCATTCTTCTCAGAGTCAGCCATAGTTTGTAATGATCTACACAGTCAAATGCCTTTGCATAGTCAATGAAACACAGATAGACATTCCTCTGGTATTCCCTGCTTTCAGCTAAGATCCATCTAACATCAGCTACAATATCTTCTTGATCTACTGTGCTTTTAATTATTATATAGTACCTTTTCTTATCTTTTATGGTGATTTTCATTTTGAAGTCTATTTTATCAGAGATTAAGATTGCCACTCCTGATTTTTTTGTGGATGCCATTTGCTTGATATGTATTTTACAGCCTTTGATTTTGAGTCTATCTTTCTCTTCCTTTACTCGATGTGTCTCTTGTATAAAATATATTGATGGGCTTTGGGTGTTTCATGTTTGTTTTTTGGTTTTTTTTTTATCCATTCTGCTACTCTTTTCTCTTGATTGGTGCATTAAGTCCATTCACACTGAATGTGATTATTGACAGGCCAGGTTTTATCATTACTACTTTTTTATTGTTTGTTATTACTATGGTCCATTCACTTTCCTTTGGTGTCTCTGTGTGTAGGAGCTCCCTTAAAAGTTCTTGTTGATTTGGTCTTATTTTCACAAATTCCTTAAGCTCCTTTTTTTCTGCAAAGGATGTGATTTCCCCCTTTTTTCATATTTGATGGAGAGCTTTTCTGGGTACAGTATCATGGATTGGCAGTTGTTTTCTTTCAACTTTCTGTATATACCATACCATTGTATTCTTGCTTGCATGGTTTATGCTAAAAAAATCAGAACTTAATCAAATTGCTTTTACTTTGTAGGTGAATCTTTGTTTTTATTGCTGCTTTCAGTATTCTAATTTTTTATTTTGGAGAATTTGACTATGTCTTAAATGTTTTCCATTTTGCATCAAATCTATTTGGTGTTCACTGAGCTTTCTGAATGTTCACAATACCTGGGAAGTTTTCTTCTAGTACCTCTTCCACAATTTTCTCAGTGATTTCCTCATCCCCCTTATATTCTGGAATTTCAGTCATGCATATGTTATTCCTTTTGATGTCACCCCACATGATTCTAATGTTTTCTTCCTTTTTTTCTTTCTCATTTCTCATTTTTTCTCTCTCATCTTTCCTTTGAGCTTCTTGTCTTCCAGCTCATTGACTCTTTGCTCCATCTCTTTTATTCTACTTTTTTGTCCTTCAAGTGTGTTGGACACTTCTGCCATTCCAGTCTTAATGTTCTGGATTGCATATTCCTGCCTTTCTGTTACTTCTAGTACTGTATTGGCAGGACTCTATCTTGTGATTATTTTAGTTGCAATTCTTTCTTCCATTATTTTTGCATTTTCTTTTTTATTTGTGCAATTTCCTCTTCATCAGTATACTTCTGGCTCTGTGTCTCTGGAGCATTTGCTTTCTTAGTGGTTTCCATTGTTTCTTCCATCATTTGCACCTTCTCCTGAAGCTGTTCAAATAACTCTTTATTAATATATTTTTCCTGGTTCTTTACCTCTAGATTATTCCCTTTATTTGTAGATTCCATTGATTCTTCCATCATTTGTACTTTCATTCGTAGTTGTTCAAATGCCCCCATATCAACATATATCATCAGCCTTCTTGACTCTGGGGTATTCATGAGATCTCTTATATTCTCTGCCTATTTTTTTTTAGTAGGCTTAATTTTTTTTCACAGTGTTTGTTGCTGCCTCCTGCTTTCTTGACATTATGTGAAGTTTTTCTTGATAAGTATTAGGTCATTTCTACTGCATCTGCAAAAGCTGTTGGTGGTTCTTGTCTTCATAATGTTACTAATTAGTTGCCAAGTTAAAATGTTCAGTCTATGGGGTAAGAGATTCGCTCTACTGTAAGTTATTTCTGTAAGTCATTTTGCCTTTCCTAAAGACCTTGAGGTTTTCTCTTTTCTGCACTGCAGCCCTATAGAATCTCACCTTGATGTTGTCCCCTGATCCAACTCTAGAGGCCTTCTTCATATATGAAGTGGCTTAATGGTGTGAGACCAGGTGCTCCACTCAAGCATTTTTCTCATGTATCTTTTCTCCTGAAGCTTAATATCTTTCTTTGTCTCTGGAGAGGCATGAGACTCAGGGCTCCATACAAGCAATGGAGAGTACTCGCTCTCGGCACAAAGTATCCCCTCCCCTCTCCTTTTCTCCTGCAGCTTAGTGTCCTCCTGTGTCTCTGGTGTGGCAGGAGATCAGGACTGCCAGCTCAGGTAGCTTGTATGCAGAGCCCTCTCACAGAGAGTGAAGAAAATTCCTTCCTCTGCTTGAAGTTCTGTAAAGTTTCTTGTCCTGCTTGGTACCTCAGATGGCATGGAGGCATGGATCCCCAGATGGGGAAACGTATAAACCCAGGGACACCTCAGTCCCATCTCTGTGAGAGTGCTTCTGTCAAGTAAGAGTATGTGTATGAGTATGAGAGAACATGACAGTATGCTGGGAAGAATATATGTATGAGTGTGTTAATGTGTATGTGTGTGTGTGATAGAAATAGGAGTATAAGTGTGTGTGAGTGAGTGTGTGTGTGTGTGTGTGTGTGTGTGTGATAGAGGCAGGATTATAGGTATGAGCATGTGTGTGCATGATAGAGGTAGGAGTATATGTATGAGTGCATGTGTGTGATAGAAAGAAGTAGGAGTATATGTATGAGTGTGGGAGAGTGTGTATGTGTGTGTAGAGAGAAAGAGAGAGAGAGAGTGTGTGTGTGTACACAAACCCATGGCCACTGACTGGTACCTCTTGTCACAGAGAGGCAGAGTGGTTATTAGGGCTTTATCACAGGTCTGGGGTATTCCCCAGCCTGTAATGGTAGGCACCCTACAGAAGCAAATCTTTCTGCCCTCACTACACATGATTTGTACCCACATGCTGCAGCTGGTAAGCCTGGGGATGTGATCAGGCCAACAAGTGAGAGTTCTTCCTGCCCCACTCCTACATTAAAAACATATACTATGCACTCAGCAGTCATCAAAGTTGCACAACTGGCCCCAGAGTGATGCAGCAGGCAGCACATGGATGCAACTGGCAACCCCATGCCCTATGCCTTTTTTTTCTCTGTGCTGGAGAATGGACATGCCCTGCATAAGGAGAAGCAGCACTGTGTAAATGGAAACTGGAGGAGAGGCCCCTATTAGGACAGTCTAGAGGTGTGTCCCTACAAGGCTCTAGGGAGGACATAGGCCCAGGCCAGCAGCAGAGTGGTGCAGCCTCCCAGGCAGTCCAGGCCATCTGCTGCCCAGAATCTCCCACCTGCCAAGGCCCATCCTTTTCCCAGTACATGCACAGAGCCACCCCATGAACCTCAGGGACACCACAGCCAGGAATGCTTTTTATTAAAATACACTGAGGTACATTCAGTAAATTCAACCTTTAAGTTGTACAAACATGTCTCTTGTGGCTTAGAAATCACTTCCTATAAATTCTGCCTTAGCAATGTTTGTCAATCAATGCAGTTGGGGGTGAAAAAAAAATCTCTAAAAACCATCCCCACTTGAAATGAATATTTGTTCTATGATTTAGTCAGCGGGCATTTAATTTATATGGTCATCTTGGGGCTGGCCAAAGGCCTATAATATCAGGAGTCTGTGTACTCCTACCTCATTTGCCATGGATGAAGGCCGGCCAGGGCGTGACTATCTCAGCACTCAGTGCACCCAGATGATGGACCCCCACAGGCAGTATATCCTTGTGTGTCTGTGTCCTATTGGAGACCGTTAACCTGTGGCAGCCTGTATGTTGAGGTGGAAGGACTAGCCATTATGGGTGGTCACCTCCAGAATAGCCCTGGATAGGCTAGTGCACAGAAGGGGCAAGCTCTGCTTGACCCACCAAGGGACACTGACTTGCAGCTCTGGACAATATGTGTCCGGACACCACTGAGCTGGCCAGGATGAAAGATCAGCTGTATTTGCTGCTAACTATCACCCTCAGAATGGCCTCCTTACTTCCTTTCCTAGAGCCTGGGGTGCTCTTAGTGTCCACGTGGCCCCTAGAATGATCTGCAGTGAGGAGGACCAGCTTCTGTACCCACCACTTCCCCCTGATAGCAGTGGTTCTACAAGACCTTCAGACACCAAGTCTCAGCACAATAGGAAAATACTGAGGTATGGTGCATTCCTCTGCAATGTAGAGTCACTAGGGAGAAAATACAAAGGTGAGGCTTAGAGCTGGGGTCAGCAGTGCCCCTTGCAACTACAGGGACAGTGGGCAAAGTTGAGGGAAGCTTGAAGAAACCTGGTCTTGATCCATGGGTTCTGACTGCACCCTGAGGTTGAAACCTCACTGGTGGACTGCGGAGGATATTCTGATTTTACCTGCAAAGGGCCTTGTCACTTTACGACTGCAGATGTCTTCAAGAACAATGAGAGACAGCATTTCTCTCATGATAGTCTGAACCAACACATTAATCTCATAGCATCCATCTCTAGGGTGCCTCATGAAAAAGTTACGGTTTTGGTCAAGAGACCAGGTTTCTTCTTTTCTACTGATGTAACCTCTGGCAGGAATGACCAGTACTATTAATAAGTGGTGAAAGAGCTGTACTGGCCACATGGCCATGCCCTACATCTCAACTACCACCAAAGCCTGATGAGAAGGGACCACCAAAACCCTCTTGCCTCCAAACCCAGGGGCTGCAGGACAGGGTGGGTAATGTGGGCTCTTGCCTGGTCTTCCAGAGAGGCAGAGCCTGGAGGTCCTGGTGGCTTTCTGTGTGTATGATTTTCCTGCTCATCTCAAGGACCTGAGGGCCTCACATGCTGGTGCCTCCCAGTTTGAGGCACAGACCCTGGACTTTGCATCACTGCAAGAAGCTCAGGAGGATGCTTCCAGAAAATGAAGGGATAAAGGTCTAGGAGTGTTGTGCTACCTCCTCCTGTGTATCTGCCACACTGTGTGGATTTTCAGAAACAGAAGATTCTATCCACACCCTCTAGTGCAGCTGTGGTTGCTGGCCTGGCTGCAGAGGACCACTCTGGGGAAACTGGGACTGGGTTCCTCTGAAGGCTACAAATCCCAGAGAGAATGCCCACAGCTCAGTCTGCTGAGGCCAGTTGGTCAAAAAATAAAGTGATGGCTTGAAAGAGGTGCTGATGATTATTGAACCAACAGCAGCCATGAGTTCACCACTCAGAGCAACTGAGGGTGAACACTGAACGAGAACCCAGAGAGGAAATGAGAAGGGAATCCCCAGAGGGAGGCTGAGAATGGAGAGCCAGGGACATGTACCTGGCCACACTCCTCTGCTTCCAGAGGTGGCCATTGCACCTCAGAGCCCAAGAGTGGACATGTGTTTGCACTGCAAACCCACAGCCAGGGCACCATGTTGAACCATGGCTGATATCTGCACTAGAACAACCGATCTCTTAGTTAGACTTGATAAAAGTTTTCTTATGGAGTGTTAAGCCACATACAGAAAATGGTCTCGTTTGATGCCAACCCCTATACATTCAACATGAACCTAGCCAATGGGGAATCCTGTTTTGGGGGCCCCCAGTTTAAAGACTTTGAGTGGTGAAAATAATCACACAAATACTAACTGAAAGGCTGGAAGTTCAAGCCCACCCAGTGTTGCTGCATAAGAAAGGCCTGCCTGGTGATTCTGGGAAGTTCACAGCCTCAAAAACTCATTATTCTATCTGAACACAAGCGGTGCCATAAGGCAGCTTCAACTAGGTGCCAATTGGCTGGGAGTCTCTGTGGTGTCTGTCTCTAAGTAACATGAGTAATTCTTGTCACGCTTTATTCATGATGTTATCCCTAGTTCAGAGTGACACATGCCAGATGAAATGGCAGAATGCAATGCAGAAAAGAGAGTTCTATATTCTGGAATAGGTGGGAAATTGATCGCTGCAACACAATGTCCATCTTGAGAGCTCCGTGACCTCTCAACATCTGGGGTCCCCTGCAAAGTATAACTTCCAACGAGTGCATGACCCCAGGATCATTATGCTCACACCTGGTCCAGGATGCTGGTACCGAGGAAAGTTTCATCACAGTGTCGTTCCTCAGGGGCATCCCCCGTGTGCACTGCACAGGCCACATGGCACACCTCAGCCAGGGCTCCGTGAGAGTGTTTCAGAAGCTTGGCCACCAGGACCCTTGTGTCTGTGCAGGCAGGGCTGTCCACCAAGGAGTGCGGCCGCAGCTTGCAGGGGGGCTGTGGGCTGGTTTTCCAGGTCCTGCATCCTTCTCTGGGGGACCAAGGAGGGTGCGGTTGAGCAGAGGCGGCTTCCGCAGAACAGGATGGGGGAACTACTATGGGGAGAGGGCAGTGAGAACAGGTAAACAGGCACACCCTAAGGCAGCTCTTATATACCTCTTTAAACAGCCAAGGAAAGCAGTCTGAGAAAGCTCTCTGTTGAGCATGACCCTGTGGATCTGACCCTTGCTGCCCTGTGAGCCCACCCACACCCACACCCCCAGCCCCAGCTCCATGTGACCCTGGACCAGCCATGGGCTCCAGAGGGAAAAATGCAAGGTATCCAGCCATGGGCAGGGTGGAGCAAGATCTCCTCCCTCTGAATCCTCTCCCCAGACCTCCTCACGGTGTTGAGACTCTGCAGCAGGAATGTCCTGGATAACAAGAGGGACATTCCCCAGCTTTCCTTAGCTTAATGACCCTCTCTCTGTCCACTGAGAGTGACACTGCTGAGGGGCCTTTTAACTCTCTATGAATGGTGGATGGCAGCCAGATTGGATAGGCCAGGCCTGGGCATGAGACCAATGGCTGGGAAGGGGCCCCAGATGCCAGGAGGTTACCCAAACCCCCTACCCAGGCTGATCCATAGCACAAACCCTTACCCTGGTGGCACCTTAGGAAGAAGCCAGCGAGGGGTCAGACAATTGTCTAGAGATTCTTAGGAATTGATTAGGGCCCAGCTTGCCCACACTGAGCTCCAAAACATCCAAAACATCACCCTTATAGTGGTCTAGAGCCTTCTGCAAGCTCAGCAAGTAAACATGAGACATTTTCAAAAACATAAGCAAACAAACAAAAAACCTTACTTGGGTCCAACCTACTCCAAAACAAGACTATCATCAATAAGGTGCCCTAAGTGACTGCGTGTGTTTATACCTCTATTAATGAAAAGCTGCTGGAAAGCTGGGCTACTCCCATTGTAGGGAGACACAGGAGGAGAACTGGATTAGAACAGCAGATGACTAGTTACCCATTTGCACCTCAATAGGTAACATGCAAGCTCTTAGACACATAAAATGACTTATCAACAATATCAGAAAATTGTGTTTAAAACACACCCTTTCATTCACCCAACACCCTGCATTACTATAAATGACATGCCCTTGCTTGCTAAAAGTGAAGAGAACTTGAAGCACTTAACCGCAAAAGATCAAAAAACCTCAACTATATTAAGAAAAATGTGGCCTCAACATTGGAGGAAGACTTACATGTAGTTGAGACAATCTTACTTGCAAAAAATAAAGATGACATGAAATACTCATTGCTGATTATAGCCTCTAGTATGGATTGCATTTTAACACAAAGAAAACAAAAACACAATTAGGCTAATAAACATTATCTTGATTAATAAAGAAAAGAGTCAAGTTGGCAAAGATTGACTTGGATTCACAATGGAGCCCTTGAAATCAAAGCACTTATTTCCTTGGGCAAATTTGTGTTAAGGGCCTCTTTAATATGAAAAGGTGCAAGGATTTCAACTCTCAGCCCCACACAGAGCCAGGAGAGGTGGGGAGGATCTTTTCGGGCCCAAGCAGCCCCAGCAGCATGTCAGCCTGGGAGTGTCCAGATCCACCTACCACAGCCACAGGTGAAAATCATTGTATTCCTAGCAAGCCCTCTGGCACCCTCAGCCCCACACAGAGCCAGGAGAAGTGGAGAGGACCTTTTCGGACCTGCGCAGCAGCAGGCCCTTGGGCCACAGAGGAGAGTATCACCAACATTCAGAATCCTGCCAAGACATTGCTTTTCTTGAGATACCATCCTGCTTTGCCAGCAATACATATTAACTAGAAGACTCTGGCAATCAGAAGCTACAGTCTTAGAGTAGAAGGTCCAAGACTGAGTCTTTCCTCCTCAACTGTCAGAATGGTGAAGAGAGTCACAACTGTTCCCCAGTTATAGATAATCTTGCCACAGGATTTGAGAGGAAAAGTATAGGCCAAGTGAGTTGTCCTCCCCCTCCCTACTAGCATATTGAGCTCCCCGACTGAAGCAAGCCTCACCTTCAGTCCAGGGAACTAAGAGAAATTCAGGTAAGGTGACTTTCCTCTCCCTTCTCTGGAGCAGTGAGCAGTGAGCTCTCAAGCCAAGATTATCAGAACAATGTCCTGCTAGGGCCCCAGGCAGGATAAATTTTACCACAGCAATGATACATAAAAAGTAGGCTACCTCATTCCCTCCACAAAACCAAAACAAGATGTCACCTAAAAAACCAAAATGATCAAAACATAAAATCAAGAGATCTCCTGAAACAAGAAAGCCTGATGGAACTTTCTGACAGAATTCAAAAGAACAATGGTTGAATATTTTCAATGGGTGAAAGACAAACTCAAAGAATTACAGGATTTTACAAGTAAAAACCAAGAAGAACTTATAAAAAACAACCAAAGGCAATGCAGAGAAAACAAACGAGGCATTAAAAACTCTGGAAAAACAAGAAACTGCAATCCAGAACATGAGTACCTGTGTCTTAAATGTTGTCAATGGGTTGGAGGGACATATGAACAGAATTAAAGGAATAGAACACAGAATTAGTGAAATAGAAGATAGAGAACTGCTAGAACAAAAAGTAGAATAAGTGAAGAGTAAAAGAGTAGCAGGTTGGATAAAAAACAAACCCCATCAATATGCTGTCTACAAGAGATACACCTAAAAAGGGAAGATAAAGAAAGGCTAAAAACAAAATGGGGGACAATATATGCCACGGAAATGGCAAACATAAAACAACAGGAGTAGTGGTATTACCTCTGGTAAAATAGAGTTCAGTGTAAAAATCACCATAAAAGACAAGGAAAGTCACTATTTAATACTAAAAGGGTCAATTGAACAAGAGGACACAATCATAATAAATAGCTATGCACCAAATAATAAAGCTTTAAAACAAATATTTAACAGAACTGAATAAAGAAATAGACATCACGTTGGTAATAGGAGACTTCAATATACCACTCTCAAAAAAAAGACAGAAATACCAAAAAACAAACAAAAAAAACCCAACTCCACAAAGACACAGAAGAATTAAACCACACAATCAACCAACTCGATTTCATAGATATATACAGACCCAATACACCCCCAAAAGAAGAGTATACATTCTTCTCCAATGTACATGGAACATTTTCCAGAATAGATCATATTTTAGGTCACAAATCAAGCATGAATAAATTGGAAAATATAGAAATAATACAAAGCATTTTCTCAGACCACAAAGCTACAAAATTAGAAATCAATAACAAGAGGATAAAGGAGGAAATAAACCATGCATTTGGAAGCCAAGCAACACTCTGCTTGAAGATGAGTGGGTAAAAGAAGAAATAAAAAAATTAAAGTTTCTTGAAACAAATGATAATGAAAACATAACTTACCAAAACCTCTGGGGAAAAGCCAAAGCCATAATCAGAGGTCAATTTATAGCAATAAGAGGCCACAAGAGGCCATCATCAGAACAAAGCAAGGAAACATGGCATGATTCAAAATTGGGAAGGCTGTGTGTCAAGGATGTGTCCTATTTCCATTCTTTTCAATTTATATGCGGTACAGATTATTCGGGAGGCTGGGCTCTATGAGAAGTGTGGCATCAGGACTGGAGGTAGACTTATCAACAATCTGCATTATGCAGATGACACAACCCTGCTTGCTGAAACTGAGGAGGACCTGAAGCACTTGCTGCAGAAGGTCAAGGATTGCAGCCTTCAGTATGGATTGAAGCTCAATGTCAAGAAAACAAAGATTTTCACCATGTGGCTGATTGGCAGCATCATAATAGATGGTGAAGAGATTGAGACTGTTGACAGCTTTAGTTTGCTTGGCTGTACAATTAACGCTCTTGGTACCAGCAGATAGGAAATTAAAAGGCGAACTGCATTGTGAAAGTCTGCTGCCAGAGATCTCTCCAAGGTACTGATGTCAGTCTGGAGACTAAGATGCACCTGATCAAGGCCATGGTATTTGCAATTACTTGCTATGCTTCAGAAAGCTGGACAAGGACTAGGGATGATAGAAAGAGAGTTGATGCCTTTGAGCCTTTCCCAGGAGTAGCCTCTCCTAGCAACATGTTCAAAGGAGCTCTGGTGGCTTAGTGGAAAGAAGCTGTGCTGCAATCCCCAAGGCATGCAGTTCAAGGCCACCAGTTGCTCCAAAGAAGAAGGATGGCAATCTTATCCCACGTGATTAACTATCTCTGAAAACCCACCAGAGAGTCAGCAATGGGTCAGTTCTGACTCTACAGTACACAACAACAAGAAGCAACATGTTCGAAGTATGAGAGACAAAGCTTTGTCATTTTTGTTTCCAAGGAGCCCTGTGGCTGCACTTTCTCCAAGACCTATCTGTTTGTTCTTTTGGCAGTCCATGGAACATTCAGTACTCCACTCTAGTACCACAACTCAAAGGCATCAATTCTTCTGTCATACTTATTCATTTATTTTCCAGATTGCTGGTGTGAAGCAGGTGATTGAGAAGACCATGGTCTGAATCAGGCACACCTTAGTCTTCAAACTGACATCATTGCTCTTAAGTATTTTGAAGAGGTCCCTGACAATGCATTTGCCTAATGCAATAGGTCTCCTGATCTCCAGACTGCTGGTTCCAATATTGTTGATTATTGATCCCAAGATAAAATAATTGGCAACTTCAATCCTTTCTGGATCTGTCATGATGACTGTTGGCCCTCTGGTGAGGAGCTGTGTTTTCTTGACCTTGAGATGTTATCCATGCCGAAGGCTATAGTTTTTGATCTTCTGCAACCAGCTTCAAGTCCTCCTCACTTTCGGTAAGCAAGGTTGTGTCATCTGCATAACGCATGTTGTTAACGAGTCTTCCTCTAGTCCTGATTCCACATTCCTCTTCATAGAGCCTAGCTTCATGAATAATATGCTCTGCATACAGGTTGAACAGGCACAGAGAAAGGATACATCCCTGATGCACACCCTTCGTAATTTTAAACCATGCAGTGTTTCCTTGCTCTGTTTAGACAACAGTTTTTCGATGTGCTTACCATAGAAGAAACCATGAGCGTGCCTAAGGATCAGGCAAGGTTCACTCTATTGTGCACAGTCAGAGTTGACTGCACCCCCACCTACCAACAATAATGAAGAAACAAATAGCTATAGGCTCAAAGATGGAAAGCAACCATGCTGATTTGAAAGTGCTGCCCCTCTGTTTCTGGTGTATTCAGATCAAAACAACCAGGCAACAAATTCATGGATCACGCAGCATGCACTCCTCCAATCAAATACTGACAATTGTGGACTTTGGGGCAGCTCTGCACAAGTCCTGTCACCGAGGCATGCTGACATGCCATTCTGGGCTCCACAGAGGACCTGACTTGGCATTTACAACATGTGCATAGCCTAGGGCTGCGTCTGGGAGCCAGGCCAGGCAAGGCTGATGAGAATGTGTAAGGCCAGGACTCATCTCACCAGGCAGGCGTGACACTCAGAGGACCATGGTGCAGTGGACCTGTCTTACACCTCCTTACCTGTCACACTGGAAGCACAGGAAATGGGGGCACTGGTAGAGCGGGCCACACAACCAGGGCCCACCTGAATTCTGGATATACTTTCGCTGGGACCCTCTGGGGACTCCAGGAGCCACTGGTTATGAGGTGGTGGTGAGGGTGGTGATGGAGATTTTGGGGCGCCCATGTCTTCTGGGGTGCAAAGGCTGGGACCCAGCACAACGGGGACCTCAGTGGAAGGGAGGCTTGTGGAGTCCGATGGTGCTGCAAGAAGAGAAACAGGTTAGGGGCAGTGTGGCACTTCCATCTGGACCCCAGACCTGGGCCTACTGCGTAGGAGTGTTGTGTGGGCAGAGAATAGGCTCTAGATTTGAAAGGCTGGGTGAGGGGTGTACCAGGAGACTTCCCAAAAGTCATCCTAGAAGGGGTAGAGGAATGGGGAGATTGACTCTGTATGGTCCCTGATGTCTTTCCAGGCCTAGGAAGTCCCATAGCTTGCATGTATCCAAGGTAACCTCGGGGAGAAGGTGTATTAGGGATAAAGGATGCCATTAGAGGCAGGGAGGTTAGATGGACCAGCAAGGTCTATTTAAAGGGAGAGACCTCAGGACACTCCAGCCAGGCCCCATAGGACGTTGTAACAGCAGACCTGGAGTGTATTGTTTGGTCAGACAGGGTAGGAGACACATTCTGACCCAACGTCTGTCTTGGTTTTCAGGCTTGCCCCTGCACGAGGGCATCAGTGAGGATGTTTTAGTAACACCCAGGCTGTCCAGCCCCTCTCAGGCCCACAGACTCTGGAAGTCAGGCATGCCAACCTAGTGCTTTCCTGAGCCTTCCAGGGGACTGATGCCCCTCTGGGGGTGAAACCACATTCAGGTAAGGAATGGCCATCAAGATAGGCCAGACAGGGTCCCCACACTGCTGGCATTGCTGGGCTGAACCCCACATGGACCTGATGGAAACCTGTTCAAAGAGACTTCCAAGGAAGTCAGCCCTTGAAATGAAAACTTAGTGATCTAACTCTGGTTTCCCACATCACCTGGTACTCCCAGCCCTTATTCAAAGTCCCATTCTTGAGGCTGCTTCTTGTCCTACTTCAGCAGGCACACATAGGCCCCTGTCTTAAGGCTCCCATAACCATCCTCCCACATCACCATTTACTCACATCACCTTGCTTTAAGGCTCTTATATTTTTAATTTTTTTAATTATTATTAATTTTAATGAAAATATACAGAAACTTTAGATTTCCATTCATTCATTGTTGCACTTTTCTCCCTACCCACCCTTCCACAACCTCCGACCCCCTAGAACACTCTTCTATGTGAAAAGCAAAAGAAAAATTCTTTCACTGTTTTACAATCCCTCCCCAAGGTCCACTCCACTATGCAGCCTTCATTCTGGACTCCTGTCATGACAATAATACCTAATCACATATCCCTTTTAAACAGTTTTCTCCCTCATCTGTTTCAATGCAGTATACATTATTTATTCCCTCTTTCTCAGTCTCCCCTCAACCCTGATGTCAGTCTGTTTTACAACAGTGGCACCATGCAGTATTTGTCCCTGTGTGACTGAAATACTTCACTCAACATAATGTCCTCCAGGGTCACCCATTTTGAATAATATTGCGTGAGTTCCTTGTTTTTCAATGCAGTGTAGTATTTCATTGTGTGAATATACCACAGCTTCTCTATCCATTCTTTTGTTGGTAGGCACTTAGGTTGTTTCCAACTCCTTGCTATTGAGAACAAAGCCACGATAAACATATCTGCTCTGGTGGCAGTTATGGTCTCTTTGGGTATATTCCCAGTAGCGAAATAGCTTTGTCAAATGTATCTCTATTTGCAACTTTTTGAGAAAGTGTCACACCGCCTTCCGCAGTGGCTGCACCATTTTACACTTCCACTAGCAGTGAATAAGGGTTCCAGTTTCTCCACAACCTCACCAGCATTTGATGAAGGCTACTTCTCTTACTTCAGCAAGCACTCACAGCTCCCTGTCTTGAGGCTGCACTTGCTTCCACATCACCAACTACTCATAGCACCCACCCTAAGGCAGCCCTTCTTCCATGACCAGGTAGCCCAGCCCCCTCCTTGACACTGCCCCTCCTCCTGTATCACCACGTACTCACAGCCTTCTATCTTGAGGCTCTTCCTCCCACATCACCAGGTACTCACAGCCCCCTTCTTGATGCTATCCTTCCTACTACATCATCAGATACTCACAGCCCCACATCTTGAGGATACCCCTCTTGCTATCACCAGGTACTTACCGCCACCTGGCTTGAGATAACCCCTCTTCTTACTACATCACTGAGTACTCATCTCACCTTGTCCCGAGGCTCCCCCTCCTTCTCCATCACCAGCTACTCACCGCCCCCTCCTTGAGGCTACTCCTTTTACTACATCACCAGGTACTCACAGCTTGTCTTGTGGATATCCTTCCTGCTCTAACCAGGTACTCACAGCTCCCTCCTTGGGCTGCCCCTCCTACTATAATATCAGGTACTCATAGACCCCTATTCATAGGGTCGCTATGAATTGCCTGCAACTCGACGACACTTAACAACAACTTGAGACTGTCTTTTCCACATCACTGTGTGCCCTCCTGGTCTTGATTTTACCTGTAGACGTTAAGGTGACTAATTTAGGAGTGGCTTTGATTAAGAGAGTGTAGCCAGAGAAAACTCTATTAAGTGTTCAGTGTGACAATACAAGGAAATTATTACTAAATAAATCTGAAGAAAACATTCCTAATTGATTCGTTTAACATTAAAAAAGACGGGGTTAGTGAATGTTAGCTTGTCTTACAGGTAAATTCCATGATGCTATCATGTTGTTGTTGTTATGTCTCGTCGAGTCACCTGCGACTCATAGCGACCCTATGTACAACAGCCCTAAACTCTGCTCTGTCCTGTGCCAATCGCACTGTCTCTGACACTCCCATCCCAATT